CCCCGCTGGGAAAAGCCCAGCCCCAGCCCACCCTGCCTCGCGCAGATCTGGGGGCACATGCCCCACAGACAAATGGTGGGAGCAGTGGCGGAAGCTGCCAGACAAGCACCGGACAAGCCATGTGCAGTAGCAGGAGCTGTCCTTCTCTCTTCCCTTCCACATCCCATGCCCGCCCTGGCCCTTGCCCCAGCTGGGCACCCCCTGCCGCAACCCCAGCCCCAACCCCAACCCCACACCCTCTCTCATCGTGGAGGCTTTGATCTGCCTCCCCACACACCCTTCCCCTTCCCTCCACACCAGACTTACTAGCTGCATGCAGCTCCCCACGCTGCTGGCTCTGCTCCTCACTGCATACGTTTTGTACTGTGGCTGCAAGCACGCATGAGCATTTATCTGACAAATTAAATCAGCCCCATCGGGATGATTTCCAATACAGAAAATGTTCTTTATATTGGTGCCGATCCGATATCAGACCAAAGTATCAGTGCACCTCTATCAGATAGGGAATTCAAGTCTCTTCCATTGAGCTGCCCTAAGCTCAAGGCATTAAAACCTTATGGTTATGGTTCAAGATAATTATTGCTACCTCATGATGGCAAACAAGCCCAACGCTTGAATCTTAGCAGAATATAAAGGGCTGGAGGAGATGTGTACAGTCTAGAAAGAGTGGTTAATACAACAGAAAATGTCCTGAAGACAAATCACAAATTCTCAGCTGAGTGCATTTATGTTGTGACATTTTTGAAATACAAAAAGTCACCCTAAGGAACCTGGTGAAGATGAGCAACAGGGGTCTTGCAGGCTCAGAAGATAAAATAGGGGCTGAGACTATTACAGATATCCACATTTCCATTTGGTTACTTTTTCATAAAAAACTTCAGAGAAAAAAAAGACAATATTTTGGATTTTGTTTGTTGCACTTTCTAAATTTTACACACAAATAAGGTGAACACCGAAGAGATGCTTACAAGATTCCTTAATATCTTTAGCGTGAAAAAGTATGAAGCTAAAATGACAGTTTGCATACATACTTAGTTGCCTTTGGGAAAACAAAAATCAGCAGAATAAGTGACTAGAGAAACCAAACAGTTAAATTTTACACCTTCTGAACTGTGTTGCTCTATTTAAGATAACTTTTGAAGGTGGTTTTCTGTGCATCTTGTCATTACTGTTTATGATGTTATTAAGGTCAAAGTAGCAGTTCCAGATAAGTCTCATATGATCTACATTTAAGACTTCACATTAAGGAAAAACAGCGTTATTTATAAGCAACCTTTGTTAAACTGATGCTAAAATATGGATTTAATTACACTGGTATGCAAGAATAGAAAAACATTAAAAATATGTAGAACAGAGAAAACAAATGTTACCCTCCAAACTAATTTAAAAAGAAGCAATCACGGTATCCTTCTGCGTTCTACATGCAAGACTATGCATATGTATCTTTATTTGGTTTACACAGACATGAAGCCCACATTTAAATATTTTTCTCCTGGCAAAAAGGAAAAGCCAAGCTGGAATTCTTTAACCCAGCTATTAAAACAAAGAGAAGAATAAACTTCTTGGAAAGAATGAAACAGAGGAAGACACAGACAAATAAATGGCAAGCTAAAGAAGAGTTTCCAGTAATGAAGACTGAGCATAGAGTGGCATTTCAGGAAAAGAACACACTTGAAATTGTCCTCTTTCTTGTAGGACAAGAAAATTTGCTTTAGAATAAATCCCTAAGAACAGAATTATGTATGAACTTTTATACTCTTATTTTTTATAAAGCATTTACAGAAATTTAACATAAACCAAATGCAACAGTTGCCTTCCTGCATCTGTATATGGCATGCAACAGTAGTTTCAACAATACAGGATTTTCACATTCACCTCAATGAGATATTAAACTGAAACGTCAACATTAGATGGGATCGTCAAAGGGGCTTATGCAATTACTCTCACTAAACTTCAATTGTACAATTCTTTGCAAGTCACTGAAATGACTACCAGTATTAACTGTTATACTGCTTATCTTTTTAGAAAGAACATCAAACTAATATATTTATACCACAATCCCAAACTGTTTCTGCTGATCCATAGATACCAAAACCTCCAATTTCCCTTTCCCTTGTTGACCTCAGGTACTTATATAGCTCATATAAGATGAATGGCTAGTTAGCCTAATAAAAGATATCACATCTACCCAAAGAATCTTGCCTCACAATCTTTAAAGTATTTATAAGGCAAAGAAGTATTGTTACCCTGTTTCACAAATAGGAAACTGAGGCGGAGAAACTAGTATGACTTTAAAAAGATCACGCAGAAAATTTATTGCAAAGCAGAGATCTGAACCCACAATACCAGAGTTGCAAGCTGACACCATGGAACCAAGATTAACACCAGTGACTACTGTACCAATTCTATTACTGATATTTAGCTCAATACCCTACTTTTTTTAATTTAAATGAAGTTGTTTCAGAATTTCCAGTTTATTGTACCACAGTGCAAAGACTATAGGTAGCTTGTTTCAAAACATATGTCCATTTGCCATTCCCATTACACAGACACTCAGTAATACCCACTCAGCCAGCCATTGATACAGGAGAAAATTCACACTGACAGTAAAACTGACTTGAATTTTTAAAGATGGTGGGAGACTGCCTCCAAGTAAAAAGCAAAACTATTAGACCCAACAATTAAAGTGATAATAGTGTCTCAGAATGATTTTCAAACTGTGGTTCACGGAACACTTGCTAGCAGTCTGCAGAGCTGGATGAACACATGGCAACGACTCTCATACTCAAACTTGTTGCTTTATTATTAGTAAGTGGAAAGAAGAACCTAGAAACAAAGGAATTAATCTGGCTAACAGCGCCCACCAGCAGGACAGGAACTCTCAGGAGCTCCATCAGGGGATGAGACCAATCAGGGGAAGAAAGTGGAACAGAAAAACATACAAGGTAAGAGAAGACAAAGGGAGACAAAGGCACAGGAAAAAGAGAAAGAATATAAACTAGTGGCCTCTCTCCATGGCCAAGACTGCCCCCAACTACCTGGTCCTTTTGGAGGGTTGTTTTATCCTCTGACATTTGGAAAAAACAAAATATCAAATAAAGCCATTCCTCTGTCCACTCTGCAGTACCAGTGCCAGAAGCTCCTTCTCTTCTATCCCCCTGTTCCTGACTCTACTTCAGTAACTTGTCCCTCTCCTGGGTCTTCTCTGAGAGCCCTTTATGGAAAATGCCGAACCAACAGTGAGGTCTGTTAGCTAAACTTTACTGACACTCCCTCTCAGCCTTAAAAGGGGAAAGCCATGTTGTTACAGGATTTGAGCTAACAGGACTGCAGAGTTTAAAGTGAAAACTCAAAGCAAACAGTGGAATCACACACATATAGGGCAAGTAAAACTGCTTGAAAAAAATAATTTACTGTAGAGTTTTATAAAATACTACTTCAGTTGTTTGCATTTTTTTGTTAAACTGCATTAGCATAGTAATCACATTATAAGTAACATCTTTGTATACATGAAGACTTCTAAAAAAAATTTCTGGTATAAAGAAAGCATGGCAGCAACATCTGTTTAACAGTATAGCAGGGGTGTCAAACTCACTTGGGGCCCAGGGCAGAACCTGGACCGCAAAGTTTCTCACAGGCTGGATCCAGCTCAGGGCACAGAGGCGGCTGCTGCAGCCACTGCAGTGGTGGCAGGCCCAGTGGTAGCATGTGGTCCAGCAGCAGTGAGGCGCCCAAAGGCCTGCCACCACTGATGGCCACAGCCAGCAGGGCCAGAGAGCCCTGCCTTCTGCAGAGACCATAGCACAGAACTTTCTGTAGCCTGACAGATTACAGAGAGATGCTCCATGGGCCAGATCTGATCTACAGGAATTATAGTCACACCACATACATACGCAGCAGTAATACAATGCTGTCCAAACAAATCCATTCTAGAGGGGTGTTTCTGGAAGTTAAATATTTTCTGTTAGACACTCAGGTGTTCTATTAACACAGACCACATTACCAGTGAACAATTCTGTCTGCTCATATTAATTTTGCTTTAAACCTATAATAATTAGTTTTTTCCCCCCTGAAATCCTGTACAAACCCACATTTATCAACAGGGCAGACAAAAATGAAAAGCATTCAACAAGTGACTTTCCTTACCTTCAAGACAGCAATAAATGGTACAAAGTTGGCTCTCTGAAGCCCATTTTTATAGAGGTCTGAAAGAGAAAACATGCATTAGCTTTGCCACTTAGTCTTCACATTAATATCAGCTTGTCTTTTAGTCTGGTAAGTGAAGCTCTATGTTGATGGAGAGATAAAGGAAAAGAAAAGAAATAAGGGAAGCTAAAATTGACTTCTATTCTTTTGCTGTATGAAATTCATTATGTTCTTAAAAAAATAAGACAGACAAATGGAATTTAGTATAATTACATTTCAATCTCTAATGAGAACTAAATTAATTTTAGCAAAAAAGAGGTATAGAAAAGCCTCTGAATAAAAATAAGCACATAAAGAACTGGAAATATTGATAATCAGTCAGTGCAGCTATTCAGACAAACTATATACATGCTTAGTTTTAAAGATCTGGAAAAGGATTTGTACTGCAAATGAAACACTATAATGCCAATTTTCAGTTTTGATGTTGTAATTCTGTTTATTGGGATTACTTTTCTGTCTTCTAGTAATTCTAAACACATCTGTTATTTTTCAAAGTCAAGGAAATGTGATTTTTACATAAATAAAATTACAAAGTACATAATCCTTCAAATTTTCACTAAATACTGCAAAAATTAAAATATGTTATAATGCAATATATATTTGCATTTTGAGAGAATATATAAAATAATAAATATAATCAGTTAAACAGCATTTTATATATTTATTATTTTATATATTCTCTCAAAATGCAAATATATATATATATAAAAACCTTTAACTAAAATGCCTTTTCTGGAAAAAATCACTACAGGGAGAGAATAAATATTTTATTATAGTGGAGTTTTCACTTTAAAAGCTGTACTATGTACTACTAAGAATGGGCTATTCCATTTTATTAATATTGTTGCCATCTTTTTGCAAGGACCCAACACCTGTTAACAGGGCAAGACAACAGAAAAACAGAGGCACCAGTCACAAACTTCCACTAAAAGACGAGACTACATTTGATTTTTATTCAAAGGTATGTTGCAGTCATGCTTATGGGTTACAGCCTGGTTGGGCTTCATTGTTTTATGAGATGTACTAACATTTAATGGTACAGACACAAGGTGGCATGCCTGAACAATCTGCAGGGTAGCAAATTCTGCATCCTAGCCAACAGCAAAGTTTGTATACAGACCTACAAGTGAAAATGGTACATGGCTAACAATGATGTCAATGCATAATTTTTTAAAATAAGAAACAAGTGAGTGCAAGCTTACCTGGGGAAACCAGTGAATATTAAGAACTGCTTCCCATCTAGTAGTATTTTAAACATGCTGTTTGAGTATGATAAACCTACCAGTACTAGCTCCTCTAGTTAACGAGCACTAGTTGCCTTGTTTTCACTCTACTATTTTTCTATTTTGGTAGAGCAAGGCGGGTGTGGGAAATGGAGGTTTTTGGAATCCCAGCTTTACTTTTCCCCCAACATACCTTCAGTGTTTCCCTCTCACATTCCAGAACAGCAGTATGTGTAACTTAAATGTGGCACTTAGCCAATGAACAGGGTCAGTTTTCCCTCTAGCTAAAGTGCCACCTTGTGTTTCTTTATCTATAAGGAGGGGAAAAGAAATGCAGAACTCCTAAATTTTGGTACTTTAATGAGAATAATGCAGTGTATTAATGCCACACAACATCCTGGACAAGGATTTTATTTCAGACGTGTCTTTAGATAGCAGGATTGATTCCATGTACACAAGAGGAAGGGGTGCTATGGTTTGCGCCCCATCAAATAGCACCACAACTCCACACCGTGATCATAATCCTTACTGGAAACTGCAAGTGCAAACTAAATATACCCCATGCAGTTGCAGATTCTTTGTGGCCTTATAGACCACTGAAGAAACATACAAAAGCAGATAGATGACAGAACCCAACCAGTTGTTTAGATTTATTTAAAAGGATAAAGAGGTGGGACCAAAGCCAAACTCACTATTTTATCACCCCTGAATTTAAATTGTTTAAAGCTATGCTCTTAAAAATGACTCCCAAAACTGAACTAGTGCATGATTCTTTTTTGTGTACAGCTCAAGTTGTGTTAATTATTCCCTTGCTATAATTCATAACTGGTCAAGCAAGGAACAAGCAAATGCTATGCAACGTTCCAATTATAACATGTAAACACTATTTTGCCTCATTCAAATATAGAATTTTTCTCTTTTTTAAGTTCAAAAGCTTTGGCAATTCTCTTACGAGTGAACAGAATTTTTAAAGCCTTTTGCTGTCACTTGAATTAAAAAATAAAATTCATTAAAAAACAGTGCTAAACAATTCAAAACTTATGTTATTAACACTGTGGTTTTAAAAGTGTCATTTAGCAACAAAAATAAGATTCCCTTATCTTACGTGGATAAATCTTTCCAGATTTTGAGGTTTAACTATGTTCATAAACAGGCCAACTTTATGAACATATATAAGATTTTGTTCATAATCTGGACTTCTCAGTTGTCAGAAAATGACCCCAAGGCAGGCAACACAGTCAGCTCAGTAGGTTGCGCACACCCACCCACCCAAAGGAAAAAAGTAACGTGAACTCCCAGGTTGCCAAAACTGAGGGAAGAAGAAATTACTTGCTTCCTCTGTGATCCGTGCTCTGGCTCCTGCTTTCTTGCCTACCCAGTCATGAGATAGCTTTTCACCCCTCTTCTAACTCTTCCCACATCACCAAACTCCTAGCTCTTGGTCTGGGGGGATGGATGGAATATAAATCACTTCAAGAGGCTGTAGATGTAGAAAAAAATTGGTAGTCAGGTGAGAAGACCTGAAGTCAGGACTTCAAATGCACCCTTTCTTCCAGATAAAGGGAAAAAAACAAGGAGGGGTCTGTATTGTATAGCGAAGGTATGAGATTCTCAAAAAAACACTAGAAATCTTGTCAGCATTAAAAGTTGAATAAATACAAACTGACTTCTATAAGAGGCTTCTTAAATTCACAGTGCTTGGATAATGCTAGCAATGCATTTGGTTTTACCTTCCGGTGGCCTGTTGGATGTTGCCACAACCACCACCCCATTCCGGAACAGATTTTCAAAAAGCTGTTTCAGAATCATGGCATCAGCGATGTCAGTGACCTGTGGAAGACAACACATTTGTTTTATCCTGCTTTCAGCTTCTGCTGTATAGATCTGCAAATGGCTTCATAGTTTAAAAAAAAAAAGGCTTGTTAGTAAAATCCTTGGAGAAGGATTCTAATTATTGCTTGGGGAAAAATAAAGGGGATAATTAATAAGCAGAGAATGCATGACAGTCTTTTAAAACTTGTCTGCTCTTTATTACAGAACCCCATCATTTCTTTACCAATTGCTAAATGATTCCATGTTAACTTCTATTATAAAACTACAGGTGGGAGCCACAGAAAACAGACCTAAACATTTAAGAGGCCTAATTAATTAGAAGCAACATGAAATAACAGAAGATAGATAAAGAAGATACACACCGGCTGTTTTACATTTCTATTACCTTTGTAGCAAAGGTTCAGAGAGGTGACTTTAAATGGTCATGGGACTTTAGAAATAAAGACAAGTAGCCAACTATACATAATCAGCTGCTGTTGAAAATAGAATGATATGACATAGATACTATTGTGTGATTGTTGCACAAAACAATTCAACAGATGGCCCATCACAAAAATAAGCAATTCCATTGTTCTTTTTAAGTGCCTTCTATTACTGTCCATGAATAATCAAAAGGCACTGCAGTCACTTCCAGCATAGTCAGCCTCTTCTAACCTTCAGACACAAAACATTCACTCTAACAAAAAAGGGGTGGTACAATTACTACCAAAAAAAACTTGGCAAACAATAAGCAGTAAAGTGAAAATTCTTAGACAAACTATTTACGAAGGCTGATTATAACTCATAATATTTGGAAATGGAATAATACAAGCTTACAACATCAAAAATACTGGGTGTGTCTACATGTGCACATTTAATGCACATTAGCCCAATTTAAGGCACATTAAGGGCTTGTGTCTACATGTGCGTGCCCTTAATGTGCCTTAAAATGGCAATTTAAGGCTAATTGAGCCTCGATTTGAGACCTGTACAGAGCAGGTATCAAATTTATGCACAAATAGTTAAAGCACATTAGCGAACATGTAGACACGCTAATGCGCATTAATGCAATGTGCCCATTGACTTGGGACTAACTTTAGTCCCATGTCAGTCCACATACCTGCCTTAATGCGCATTAGTGTATGCACATGTAGACGCACGGCTAAATAGCCTTAATGCTCATTAGGCTAACATGCATTAAGTTTAGATGCATGTAAGAGCACACGTAGACATGCACCCTGTGTGTTAGAAAGAAAAATGTAGTAAACCTTTCTGGATACAGAGAAATCCAGTTTTATTGGTAATAATCAGAGATTACAGAATCTTGCAGACTGGCTAAAACCAATGGACCAAACAACAAACAAGGCTATGGGTAGGAAGGATGGATTCTTTCACCTCACCCCTCTGTCATACCCACCTGTGCCTTGTCTTACAAGGGATCTACCTATGTGGTGCCACATAGCAGGGCTGGAACCAGGGGCATTGACCACACAACTGATAGATGACATCCTGTGTGCACAGGAAGAAGGTAAGAGTGCTTCTGCCAATATAGCTTATTGATGTTCCCCAAATTGAGTAAGCTATACCAATAAAAAGCACCTTTTACTCGTATGAATGCATCTAAACTAGGGCTTTTGCCAGCATAAAATGCTGAAAAAACAATTACACTCCTTACAAACATTACTAGACTGGCAGAAGATGTATACCAGACCTTAGGCTATAAACGCTTCAGAAGCAAGGTCATGGAGGAAATTAAAGTAAATGAAAGACACACTGCTTCCAGCCTCTGCTTAATCTACTGATTTGTGGGGAGCTAGGAAGGACAGAGATGGACTTTGCTTTGTCATCTATCAGAGGCAACAGGGGGAACCTTAAATAAAAGCAGGTTTTTCCTTACCTATCAACAATCCCTGCGTAATTATTCACTTAGTTCAAGGGGGAGGTTTCATTTTTTTTCTAGCTCAACATTAAACCATTTGATGAGTAATACAGTATGCAAACTGTATACATCATAAATTACCCAGTGTCCAGCCTACACTCTGTTCAGAGCCACGGAGATGTTTCTTCCAAAGTTTGCATATGCTAACTCAGGAACACACTTGTCAAGTTCAGTTGCTTATATATTAGCTATTGTTTTCCTAAAGGTTCTCCTGAATTAATAAAATGTCATAAACTTCCAAGGCAAGGCTCTTTGTGTGAATCTGGTATCTTTTATTAGACCAACTTAAATAGTTGGAAAACAATTATGAAGCAAGCTTTTGGGTTCAAAAACCCTTCATCAGGCTAAGTAAGTTTCAGCAGTTGGTGTGTGCTCTTCCTGGATGGAATGAAAAGTAAAGAAGCCAGAGGCTGGGCTGGTATGCATACAAGACAAGTAGTCAGTGAAAATGTAGACTGAGGAGTCAATGGGTGGTGGTGGGGAGACAGAAGGGGGATGAATAGTGGAGAGATACCTAGGGAGTCAGATGTCAGGCAGGTTATCATGTCATAAAACCAATGTCTATATTTAGTCCATGATTTTTAGGATCCAGGAGGCTGATGAAGTAGAGTTCATAGGCTCGTTGTCTCAAAAACTGAAGACATGGAAAGGGAAGTGGCACTTACATCATTTGATTTGGAAGTCAAGATCGCTGAGTTTCTACACAAACACTCTAGTACAAATAGTTTTGCCAACTGCTTGTACACATTGATAGTACTTTAAATAAGAAATCAGAGCACAAACAAATTTTAAAAGCAACTGAAAACCTTAATTGAGCCATAAAACAAGACTAAGAGAGGTGTTAAAATTGTGAAATTATTCGGTTACAAGCTAACATTTTTTTAAATTGCACAATATACAACACAGTATACTGTTTGAAGAAGGACATAAAGGACTGAAAAAATTATATTTATCTATTCTACAAGGGAAATATTTATAATGGAGTAAAAAGAAAGAAAGTGATAGCTTTGTTGGCAACTTTCTGGATGGAAGTTACAAAATTTTAATGTCACCTTACTAGGAAAAAAAAAACTTTTGAAGCTATATAAATTAATAAAGCAAGAGTCACTTTGTATATCAGAAGATGATTTATGCTCTTTTGATCTTGTATAGTTTTTGAATGGTAGGATAATGTTATAGGGTAAGCAAACAGAAGACAATAACTCAAGCATTCTCATAGCTCAGGTTTTTTCTGTACCCAGCTTTCATTACAACCAAGAACAAAAGAGAAGGCTACAAATTACCAATAAGGAGAGTCTCCTAATGGAGAGAATGGAGAAATTTCATTAGCATTTAAGAGAAAAGATTTTTATGACCTAGCGCTGCTTTCCATTATGACTCACTTAAGTAAAAAAGAAAAAAACTAATAGTTAATTTACATCTGTAAGTGCTTGAGACTCAGTCATCCACTGATTGGTACAGCTCCCTATAATGAATGACAAACATAAGCATGTATTATCAGTAATTAGTATTAGCTCAAAAAATAAGAGCATAGTTTTTTATTAGAGGCTTTTAATAGCTTTGCTGGTTTGTAAAAACTGTCTAAATTGTAGTTCTTTTTAAACCCAAGTGATATCAATAGTATTTAAACACTGTCTCTGCATGATCATTCTGCTTACCAAGTCGGGATTCTATTTTCATTAACATTACTACTTGCCACAAGTTACAGTATAGTACAAAATTAGAAGCCCTAATTACTTATGTATAGAGTTGTTTCAGAACTACCCAAAATAAAAATAAATCCTTGACTTTACAGGTTTTTACTGTAAAGCAATAAAATTATAATTGTAAATAGCACAAATCTTGTTTTTTATGTTTAGGGCCAATTTTAAAAGGCCATACAATTTGCCTGAGTATAAAAAAAAGTTGTTAAATATTTACAGTAAAGTCCCATGGATCAAAGATTGTGAAAAGGAACACCACATAGTAAGCACTACAAACTTTGGCACTGAAGATTTTTTTTGGAAAGATGTAGTTGCTCAAAGGCTTAACACAGCCAATAGCATAGCAGAAGCCACACCACTACCATAAAATGCACCTCTATTTCAAAACATTAATTATTTTAACATGGAAACATGTAAATTAATTCAACAGACTCATATACTTTTCTATGTCATTTAGTTAAGAGTAGTTATTCTAATTCCTTTTTTAACTCTTTATCCTACCACCTACTTTCAGGATACTTTATAACATTGTCTTTATAACATCATCATTGACTCTGGGGGTTTTGTTGGTCTTCCATCAGATGTTAAATGAGACTTGCCAACTTCAACATTGAACAAATGCAATGATTTGTGATTTGATAACTGCTGAAATAAAAGTATCTTTAGTGTTTTCTGCTAGCAATAACATGGAATCTCCTGTCACTATATATATTTCTTCACAGACACTGTCCACTTTTTTCCTATTTGTATCAACAAGTACCTGAAAGATATTTCAAGTAAATCTAAACAGCTATTCTGATCATGTCTACTTCCACATTGTAAGAACATGGTTCTACTGTGGGAGCATAGACTCTTGCTTCCTTCCGTTATCATTTAAGTAAGTCCCAAGTTTTCAGTTTGGACAGCAATTTTGTCTGAATGGTCCATTATTTTCTCTGTCTCTTTTGCTTATTTTCCTCCTGTTGTACCTGCTTAAATGTGAACATGTGAAACTGTGAGTAAAATCTTGCCAGCCACACTTCTGCTGTGAAAACAAATGAGTAGATGCGACTCAGTATTATGAACATTACCTCTTTTTAAGGTATTTTTTATTATTACTACTACTATCAAAATAGATTTCTAAGTCATTCTATTCTATTACTTTGTGACTTGGGCAAGAAAGCAGTGCACTGAGAATGAGAGGCCTTAGTAAAATTTCAGAAAAAAATCAGAACTCTTTGTTAGTAATCAAAACCTATGTAGTACTCCATTGCTTATACATAATATGATTTGCTACAAATAAGACCCCTTGTGCTGCTACTTTCAAAGCTTTAACTTCACTGTGGGTTTATAATAGTAGTAATAAATTAACAAGAATTAATATCTAAGATTTAAATGAAAGTTCAATAGCTTGGAAACCCTTGCATGTGTTCCAAGTAATCCTGTTGCATTTCCTTCTCAGCCAGACCACAAAGACAAAAAGTTACTTCATTCAGGAATGAGACTATTAAACCTTTAGCATGTCAACAGGGGGAGCAAGCAAGCAACCTGAGAAAAGCATCAAGAAGAATCAAAGTCTACCTTTGGAGTGCTGAAAGAATACAGTAGTAAAGCCCCTGACAAAGCAGCGGGTGAAAACCCACTCCTATGAAAGAGGAGAGTTATTTCCATTACCACACCCAAAACTGCAATTACAGAAAGACCTCCTAGATAACTGTTTAAATTGTGCATCACTGAAATCAGCATGCTTACCAAAAATCTTCAGATTACTTAGGAGGAGAAGTATAAAATGCTGCATGGCAGAACCTGTGAAATATAGTTCAACAGAGCTGTCTCTTCATACTCACTTCTATATAAAATTACCTTCAAACAATGAGGTTGGAAATCAGAAAAAAAAATACTGCATTCAAAGGCATAAGGTAAAATCCCCTGCATTAATTCAAGGTGAGTTTTTAAATTCCAATCCAAGTCCTAGAAAATGTAAGCTATAAGTGTCTTCCATTAGAACAGGACACGGGCAAAGAAAGCCAGACAGCAATCAAAAACAAGGAGAAAACCCAGAGAAAATCCTACAGCGAGTCATGCAGATTAATATAGTAATGGCAAATACCTGTACCTGATACAGGGTTTGAATGTGTGCTAGTAATATTTTCTAGATGGATAGAAGAGATCAGCAGTAAAACATAATGAATAAGTCAAGAACTCTTTTCCCAGATGGCAAATGAAGCATGCCTATCTGTGAAAACTTCAAAGACTAATCAACCTTTCATAACAGGAAAAATGGAACACACATTAAAACAATTAATTTTTACTTGTCTATTACAGAGTATACTTGTATTTGTAGAGCAGCTTCTCTCTCCAAAATTTCTTTAATGCACTTGTGAATTTTCAACATAACATTATGAGGCATATTAAAAATAAAGAGCTCAAGAATTCTGGAGAATAAAAATAATTTAATCAAGTTAGTTTATGCAAAATATTTTGTCAGTTTATTATATATTTTCATACTGAATTCAATAAAAACTGCTTATGATTTAACTGGTGTTTACACAGTGCTGTCAAATAGACTCCAGCAGACCCCATACAAAATTACAGTTGCATTGGACACAATGTTCCCAAGTCCTTGATCATAGTCACTCAAAGTTTTATTTGGTTATTTGAATGACAGTGACTAGGAGATACCAAGCATGTATCAGGATACCAATGAACTCAGCACTGCACAAACATCGCAAAAAGGACATGTCTACCCCAAAGTGCTCATATAATCATCTCTTTAAGCATTAAATATCCCTACACTGAATGAAATGATAATAATGCAGTGAAAATACTTGAAGTACATTAATCCAATTAACTTCTTCAGGAATTGGAAGCACAATTCCTATTCTTGAATTTTAGCCTTCTACCAATATGACTTATATGAGAAGTAAGAGATTCTAGAGTAAAAGATCAAAAACTTCAGGTTTTCCTGAAGTTATGAAAGAATACCTACTTACTCACCTGAAATTCATCAAAACATAAGAGACAAGCTTCTTCACTTATTTCCTCAGCTACTGGGGCTATTGGGTCATATGATTTGGCCATAAGCCCTGGTTTTCTTTTTGGCAAGCGCTGTTTAAGGCGGTGTATCCCTGAGTTAAGAGAACAAAAATTAAAACATGATGTGTTTTCCTTTATATGCTCCAGAGGGAAAGCTAGAAATGCACATTTTAAGTTAGATACTAAAATGCAAGAACATGAGCACTATATTTTAATTGGGCAAATGGAGTAATTTTTAAAACTTTTCACGTTACAGATTCAGTACACTGCGTTTTCCTGCTTAAAATGTGTCAAATACTGCTTTGTAAGCCTCTTGGATCCTGATGATATCCACCTTCAAAGGGTGCAACTATCTTCATCGTTTCAAAAATCCTGCTGTTTTAATTGATGAAGGTTTAATTTTGTCATACTTAATTTATTACTTTGACTTCAGCTTGATTTCTTTGAGATTTCTAATATTCAGGACAACCTTCAAAGTATTTCAAAGTCAATCAGGGAAATATGCAATGTTTTATAAGTCATACTTACAACTTTGTGGTCAAATTCTAGAATAATAAGAATCAGCTCAGAGAAACTAATCCCTACATTTCTGAACTTTACTTGAGAAAGACTGCACACAAAGTACTATAGTACAATATGACACTAGCTTATACTGAACATAATCTCTAACACACTAAAAATCAACACTTGGTAAAGACAGACCTTGTGATGAGAAGTTAGTTTTATTAAGAACAGACATACTGCAACTTATGTACTATTTGGTCTCCAAAATATGGACCACCCCGTGCAGTATTGGTCATCATTGGTATGCTGTGGATGCAACATAGGAGTACAACTATAATCAAATTTGTGATTTATTTTGACATGAGGATATTAAAATTTGAGGGAAAGATCAGGAAGGCTCCCACCTTGAAAACAAAACTTCAAAACAATCCTGAAGAACTTTTGAGAGAGAAAATGAGTCAGCAATGTGACACTAACACAAAAAAATGTATGAAAAGTTATGCAATCTGGGGCTGCATTAACAAAAGCATTGTATGCAAGACACAGGAGGTGATAGTATCCCTCTACTCAACTGCTGGTTAGGCCCCACCTAGAGTATTGTCTCCAATTCTACGCACCACATTTTAAGGATGTTGAGAAAACGGGAAGGATTGGAGAGCAAGTGACAAAGATAACAACCAGGTTGGAATTCAATCCATAGAGAAAAGGCTGGTAGAACCAGATCTGTTTTGTTTTAAGAGAGGGATATGAAAGCAGTTTTCAAATATTTGAAAGCTGGTCATAAAAAATATAGAAGAGCATTGCTTTCTCTTACCACGTAGGACAGGACATGAGGCAACAGATTTAAACTACAAGGCAGATCTATCATATTTATTCAAATATAAGATGAGGTCCCCCCCCATCAGCATATGGAAAAAAACTTCATCTTGCATTGCATACAAGAAAATCTTATTAAATATGTTGCTTATCATTAAACTGTTGTCACAAGCAGCATGAAAACCAACTATGGAATTGATTAAATGAAGCCAACGCTGAGCATGACTATGAAACACATGGCCCATATTGAGCAATCATACTAGTGGGAAGCTTTTTTTGGGGCCTTTAAAAATAATGGAAGGGTGTTACTTCCACAGGGAACTGGCACCAGGCCTAGAGGTACTGCAGTATCAGGCTGGGATCAGGAGGGTCAGAGCCAGCCCTGACACCCTCCTCTTGGTGCCCAAAATGAACTTAACTACATCTGATCTTAGCCAAAAAAAATAAAATAAAATGCTGATGGGAACCTACAGGAGGGTTTTTTCCAGGTCAAATTAGCCAAATCTGTTCTGAATCCTATCACTTGAGCACAACTCAATCATTCAAAATGCTATATGTGACACTACAACGAGTAAGTATCCTCCACCCCAGACTTTTCAGCCTGGGGCTTCAGATACTCCCAAATCCATATGGCAGGTATTCTATGTGCAGGCCCAAACCTGGAGGTCCTGAGGCTCAGATGTCCCCCAGTCTCACTTGCCCTTAGCCAGTGGCCCCAGGAGCAAGCTGGGAATAGTCCCCACAAGGACAGGTTACTACCGACCATCTGAATTATTCAGTGCGAGATAAGATACACCAATTGCACTTAGTCCCTCTTAGCGCTGACTCTTTTTCAAGTCACCGTGGGCCATGCCTACTAAATAGGATGTGACTTCTGTTTCATTCCCACAGCTGAGCTGTGCCTTTCTCTCCCATTTTCAATTATTCGTGTATCCTCATGATCTTTAAATGTCTGGCAAACATCACCGAACAGGGCCCCAAACAGTTCACCCAGAAACCCTGTCTCAGCCTGGTGCATAAGATTAGTGTGACCCTGCCCTCCATGGGGTAGAACCAGACCAGGTTACCCTGTGCCTCATCTGCATATAAATCTTTGAAGGATCCTAGGACGTTGACAAGAATACCTAGCTCCAGTGGAGAGTATCTGGAGTATACAAACATACTGAGCAATTCATGGGGTTACCATGGCTTGAAATGCTATTGACTCTGCTGGGGCCCTGCCCAGTGAACTATACGATAAATTATAAGCTTTTTGGCTTTCAACTAATATATTATGTATAGTTTGCACTAGTTGAATGAAATACTGGAGACAGTGGTGGCTATCTACCAGGAGCTGTACACCAAACGACCAGAGGACCTGGGAGACCTGTAGGATTGTCTGCAGATGCTCACCCAGATCTTTGGAGAGGGCAAACAGCTGATGCTGGTAAAGGAGTGGACCCTGGAGGAGGTTGACAAAACCCTCTGCAGTTTTGGGATCAGATGGCCCCTGACCTGCTCGAGGTCTTCAAAGACTGACTGCGAGAGGGCTACCTGGGGGCACGGATGGACCAGTGCCTCATGACCTGGGGGCAGGGATGGACCAGTACAAGAAGGGTCCAAGGGAGGAGTTGAAGAACTGGAGGCCCATAGCTCTCCTGAACATCAACTATAAATTGCTGGCCAAGGTGTTGGCCGAGTGCCTTAAATCTGTCATAGGGACAGCGATCCATGAAGACCAGATGAGCACAGTGCCAGGGAGACAGATCCATGGAGCCCTGATGCAGCTATGGGATGCTCTGCAATACCAGCAGGAGAGGGGCTGGAGCAGTGCCATGCTGAACCTTGACATGGGGAAAGCCTATGACTGAATATCCCACCGATTCCTGTTTGAGATGCTGAAGGAGATGGGGGTCCCACCAACCTGTCGCCTGGATAAAGATACTGTACATGGACATAAGCAGCTGAGTGCTGGTAAACAGGCACCAACTGCAATGGAGTTGGGGGTCTGGCTGTTGGGGGTCCCACACTTCACATCATCTGCACCTCTAGCTCAACCAAGAGGAAGCTAGGGTCCTGGCCTACATGAATGACCTCAACATCCTCTGCATGGACAAGTGGTTGATTAAAAAAGTATTGAAACACACAAAGATATATGGAGTGATGGGGGGGCACATAGCACTCATGAAGGCAGTGCTGCTACTGGTGCTTCTGTACGTTGCCCTTGTCTTCCCCCACTTGGAATGAATTGCCCATACAATCCAGAGGGACATATGCATCTTCTTTTGGGGCTCTGGATTGGAGAGAGTGAAGAGGAAAACCTTGTACAAGACTAAATGGACAGGGGCCCGAGGAAAGCCAGACATAATGCTTTTCCTCTGGGCCAAATACATAAGCCAGATATGCAAACTGGTAACTGGGGCAGAGCCTAAAACAGTCTGCTTCATGAAGTATTTTTCTGGTAACATGCTATGATGTTGGAGGATACATGTGCTGTCACCTAGCTACCTGGGAACCGCCATGGTTCTATAGAACCCTGGAGCAGTTCCGCAGCAAGTATGCACTATAGACAGTCTGATGACCCTAAGGAACCACCACAAAAATGCAGAAGGTGGTGAGGAAACAGGATGTGGTGTCAGCCATGGACCTACTCCCCAATGACCCCTGCCAAGCCACGTGGGAGAGGGTCATCCACAAGGACCTGCAAAAAGAGCACAAAGACATGAAAT